AGCACTGTGGACTCAAATAATGATGGATCTGGACCAAACTTGGCACGAATATTCCATATGCCCAAATATGAAAAAAGATGGAGTGTGGAGAAAATAAACCTTGACATATGGGAGTTGTAGTTACTGGGATTTATAGTTCACCTACAATCAAAGAGCATGTTGAACCCCACCAACGACAGAATTGGGGCAAACTTCCCACACAGAACCCCCATGAGCAACAGAAAATACTTAAGGCCATCCAGTCCAACAACCTTCACCAAGGCAAGAAAACGTCATCAAATCCCTCCTGACAGAGAGAGATCCAGCCACAGATATAGATAGATATATATGATTCACTTAGAGATATTGTATCCTAGATTTGAAAGGGACCCCTAAAGAAGGACAAATATATGTTGTCTGTTCCAGAGTAGGCAAACCAGACAATCTCCACATCAACACTGACTAAGAAACAGCAGGAAAACTGTTTACCCACAAGCATAAAGACATTACATATAATAGAAACCAACACTTTCCCATTACTTCATTTTCCAGATCACCAGACTGGGCCACAGCAACGCATGCCAGGGGATGGCTAGTGATAAATAAAAAGCCCACGGTTATTTCTGTATCATGATGAGAAGGTATACGAGAACTATATAACTGAGAGGAGACATGCTAGCCATGTATAAATATGTGAGGGGAAGTCATAAGGAGGAGGGAGCAAGTGTGTTTTCTGCTGCCCTGGAGATTAGGACGTGGAACAATGGCTTCAAACTACAAGAAAGGAGATTCCATCTGAACATGAGGAAGAACTTCCTGACTGTGAGAGCTGTTCAGCAGGGGAACTCTCTGCCCTGGAGTGTGGTGGAGACTCCTTCTTTGGAAGCTTTTAAACAGAGGCTGGATGGCCATCTGTCAGGGGTGCTTTGAATGCAATTTTCCTGCTTCTTGGCACAATGGGGTTGGACTGGATGGCCCATGAAGTCTCTTCCAACTCTATGATTCTATGATTCTATGAATCAGAATACATGTCTAGAAAAGACCTGTTCTCGACCTTCTTAATCTTTTGAATAGGAGGAGAAAGTGGTCCACGAGATGCCTGAATCTGCTCCTACCAAAAGTTGTCCCAAGCACTCAATAGCAATGAAGAAGTCTTGAAGGCAACACTGTCAACATTAAAATGTCTCTGTCTCAATTCCCATTTCTCTCCTCAGCTCTTTGACATTGATGAAGATGGTATCATATCAGAAGATGAATTCGCCTTAATTATCCGTTCATCGCTTGGACTTCCTGATCTTGACGTTTCTAACCTTTTCAAGGAAATAGATGCCGACAAGACAAACAAGCTTTCCTATGGTAAGTTCAATCTGTCATGGTTTCCATAGGGATTGCCGCTGGTTTCTGGAGATGTCGAGAAGTTCTTCTAAGACTGTGAAACAGGAGTTTTTGTCCAAACCTTGAGTTCTCCTTAATGCTAGCAGTGTTTTCACTAAGCAAGACATAAGCAACTGTCTGAAGTCAGCTTGTTTCAACCTTTATCCACAGTTTTGAGTGCAAAGAAACATCAAGGAGTAGTTCTAACAAGAACGGAACGATACCTTCCAGATATCTTCTCATGATTTTACTAGTGAGGGAGAATGTAAGACTCACAACAAGTGGAGGATGGGAGACATCTTATAGCTTAAGGATCATGTTCAATTTCTGACAAGTTCTTGGGGGCTGAATTCCAGTGGAAAGTAGAGACAACGGCAAATGAGTAGGTCCAGTAAATACTGTTAGTAACTAAACACAAAAAGAGGTATTTCTAATAGTAACACTTTAAGCTGGTGTCCAGTTTTGGGCATCAACATTCAAGCAAGGTATTGACAAACTGGAAGGTGGCCAGAAAAAGGTATCCAAAATGTCCAGGGGTCTGGAAACCATGAATCGCTATGATGGGCAGCTTAGGTAATGGGGTATGTTTTGCCTGGAAAAGACAAGGTTGAGAGGAGACATGCTAACCATGTTTAGATATCTGAACATATGTCCTGTGGAAGATGGAGCCAACTTGTTTTCTGCTGCTCCAAAAACTAGGTCATAGAGCAATGGATTTGAACAACAGGATAAGAGATTCCACCTAAACATTGGGGAAAAACTTCCCAAATAAAGAGCTCTTCGGCTGTGGAATGTGTTGCCTCAGAACACGGAGGAGTCTCCATCTCTGGATGTTTTTATCTGGAGACTGTATGGACATCGGTTGAGGGTGTGTGAGTTGCCTTCCTGCATGGTCAAATAGAGTTAGGATGACCCTGGTAGACTCTCACAATTCTATGATTCTAATATTCTGCTTTGCAAACTGTATAGAAACCTTCACAATGGTTGAGGAAACCAGTGTGACCATCTAGGGAAGCTCAGAAGGATTGTGCACCAGGAATGTGGCACAGCTGGCTGGAAGTCAGCTGCATTAAGATCACTACTGACTACTGAGTTCGAAGCCAGCCCGGATCGGAGTGAGCTTCCAACCATTGTGTAGCTTGCTGTCAACCTTTGCAGCC